TTTGATTTTTCTCTAGCAAGAAGGCATAATAAAAAGAAAATTTAAGAGTTCAGCACAGGAGGAATTGGTGCATTGCAAATATTGTGAGTAAACAAATGACAAGTAAATATATGGCTTTATGAGTGCCATCTTCCTGTTCCCTGCCTTGGGTTTTGATAGGTGAGAGGAAAGTAGAGCAATAAGTAATTTTTTTCTCCAAGGTGAGTCAAATCTTCACAAGGAAAAATTGGTATTGCCACACTTACTTCTACCTGTTTACAGCTGAGCATCGACTACATTAGATTAATATGCAGTGTATATTTATTGCAAGGCATTGGCAAGACTGGAAAGAACCTTTCCATATGAAAAAGATATATCAATGATGATACTGGGTGCTCAGTTTTTTTTTTGTTTTGAATAGTAATAAACTGAATCCAGTGAAGAGTTCCAAGTAAACTAAATATAGTGTAGAATAAGGATAAGATTGTCTTACATTATGAATACCATATTTTGTCCTTATGACAATGTAATTGAATTTAAAGTTTATTTTCAGTGGCTTTTTTATATTGTTATCTGTTTTATCTCGTAACAGCTTAAACTTGGTTTTCTTCCAACAAGATTGGTTCAGATTGCCTCGATTATTAAAACCCATGGGCAATTACTCATTTTTGCTATACATGATTCAGGTGATTGATTTGGGTCAAATGGAAAAGTTCCTGGGTGGTTCATAGAAGTATACAAATATTGTGTTTTCATATAATATCAAATTTGTTATTTTGCATAATCCTGCAATAAAACTCAGAGTTTCTGCCTAAGATCTGCACAGTAAAAACAGTTGTGCTTCAAATTAATTTGTGGGAAAGAAGAGTCCACTGCAACTCACTGAATCATGAATGCATTAAACACTTCCTTAACCACTCTCAATCAAAATATTTCAGAGAAATATTTTAGCATGTATACAGAGGTGATGTTTAGATACACTACCTTTATTCATTCACCTCAACAAAATAACCATCCTCAGTGATTTTTTGTCATTGAGCATGGCCAGGAAATTTATGAGGAAACAATATATTATTTTTCATTACTTGTGTCAAGCAAATAATGCAGAAGTGATTGATACATAGTGACCCATATTGTCAACAACTATTTGAGTCCTGGGGGTGGAGAGGAGCACCTTTTGCAATATGTCATTTACTGAGGATTTTATAAAAAACAGAAGTGTCACTGCCCGAGTTCAGATTAGGAAACTCAATGTGTCAAGTGCCTGATTTTGACAAAACTCTCCCTTTGCCCTTCAACCTGCATTTTCACGTGCCTTTATATTATTTTTCCAATCGATAAAACTTGAGAGCAGTGCCTGCTTTTTGAGGTCTAAGGTTAAGTCCCACACACTTTTTCCAAACAGAAGTCTACAAAAGGCTCCCTGATAACAGCTACTGATTGGGGACACAGTGCTCTTCTCCCGAGGGAATAAGTGTGCTAACCACCTGCAAGGACAGGCAGGGAGTTATCCCAAAGGGAAGGGCAACACCTGGAAATGGTGGACCCCCAAGAACAGAAAGTGAGGTCACTTTTCACTTATTGGGAGCAACAGGAATGGTGTAGGGTTAAAAAAGAGGAAAGGAAAGAAAAAGTTGTTGAATATTATTGCTGTGTGAGTAGGAACGGAGCTTATGATGGAGTAACAGAGAGTAGCAGAGCAGGAAGGGAGCAAGTTTAGTTCCAGATGGCATGTGCTTAACTCCTCTTGTTGCTTTGGTCATATAATGGGGTCTTAATTCTCTGTACCACTCTACCAAATGCTCTTAGAGGAATATTTTCCCAGGTATCATTGTTTGCCTGTGCTCTTAACTATACTCTGCTTGTCTGATCAAAGAGCTCACCAATGCTTCAGCTTTTGGACACTTTTCCCAAAAGACATAAGAAAACCAACACTAGGAAGCTCAGGAATCAGTGGCTCTTCCAAAATTATCTCTGTCCCTGTGACCATGGCTGGAAGACAAAGGATTGCCAGCTGCCAGTATATTAAGTGCATTGTATCCACTGTATTTTGGTTACCTGGTTGGAATTTCTGGGAAAAACTGGCAGGATTATAAAATGAAAAAGCAAGGATGACACATACACACCCCCTGAATAATCAAATGACTGGGTATAGATTGTGCTTTTAAATCTTCACCATATGAGTTTATTTCACAGAAATTATACAAGCTGCAAAAAGTGAAGCAGTCCCCAAGGACTCATATACCAAATATTTTCTTACTGATTTGGTTGGTTTGCCTTTGTAGCACTAATACTAGACCTAAATTAGCTTTAGTTAAAAAAATTACTATCTTGTCCTCCTAAATACACTTCTTTTCCAAAAGCTGAAATGAGAAAATGCATGTGGATAGAATAAGAAAAGAATCCTAAGGAGATCTTGACCCTGTAATCTTTGATAAGGTAGCCCAGCATGTTAACATTAGACCACTACAACACATCATGCAGAAGTGTGAGTTTAAAGGCCAATGAACTCTACAGATTTTCCCAAGTCTTTCACAGTTGCAGAAACACCTGTACTAAATATATTTGGGTTGGTGATTCAATGGCAGAGTGACAGAGTCCTTAAAGACTGACCTGTGGTACCTCAGCTCAGCGGAAATGCAGTGGGACCAATAATTTTTACTTGTCTTTATGTTGAACAGAGATTTGTCCTGAAGGCTGGACAAGCTTTGAGCTTTGTGACGGATAATTTTAAATGTGCACCACTTCTCTGAGGACAGCATCTCAAAGTGTATCAGAAAGGGCTGGGTTCTGTTTCTGCAGGCTGCTAAAAGAATGGCTTTGAGTAATTTTAAGTGCCTGCACAAAGCAGTCCAATCAGTATATTCCTGTTATACCTCTGTTTCTCTCTGATTTTTTTTTTCTGTAGATGTACAATGACTATCTTGGCAGCCTTGCAAAATACACCATGTGTGTATGTATGTATGCAAAGCACATGAATGCACTCCATTTTTCTCACAAGGATTATTTTAAAATATTTTGCATATTCAATCTCCTCTCTCTTTACAATACGATCAGCAATGTGCTATAAAGACACTTCAGGGAAGGGAAAGTAGATTGTTAATACTGGTGTATCACCTACCATCTGGACACACTTAACACATGGTGAGATGTAAAGATTCAGCCATTTGTGGAATTTGATCCCAGAGCTCACTTTCAATCAGGTAAAGTCATGTCTAGACAGGCACAGATGTTGTATGTACATAATGTAGTTCATTTAATTTATGTCTTGCTTGTGTTAGAATAATGCTGCATTGGGATTAGTGCAGACCCACAGTGCTCTGGTAGGTGAACTGGTGACATTTGAGTTCAAAGGAGTGTGATCCATGCCAGTGTCCCCGGTGCATGGCAGCACATAAAACAGCTTCATCAAGGTGGTGTATTCCCATTGATTTAGATCCCAGTCAGAGAAAGACAATGGAACAGGAATTTTGCTTCTCACCTGCCCGTTGTGCGGGTTATGCTAAAAAATCTGTAGTAGTATCATCAGGCTTCTCTACAAAGTAAATATAACAATGCTGGTGATTCTTCTGGCATATTGCAGACCAGTGTTGATGTTTTATATTCCTTCTGCCTACATTGTGCTGTTGAGCCCAGGGACCACACACTTTTCCTTTACTGGCTGTAGCATGTATAGCCCTGAACATGTAAGTGGAATTTCTTCTAATCTAGAAAACTTTAACAGGTAGACAGTGGCAGATTGCTGTAAAAACCCCCAAATCTAAATTCATTGTGAAGTCTGCTTTACTGGAACACTTTCTTCTATATACATGAATATTTACATTTATGGAGGCAGCCGTATTCAAAATACTAATATTACTCTGCAAGTTCACCACTCCTCAGATGGTTTTGGGTGGGCTTTTCTTCCTCTCCAGAAATACCCAAATTCTTTATTTTTCTTTCTTTACTTAAAAATGTAACTCTTCTCCAAGCCTATTCCCTTTTCAGATCCCTGTTCTTGGAATGCACCTCCAGTCAGCAAACACAACGAGTGAAATGCAAACTCTGAGGACACTGCCAGGCCCCCTGACTGTCCCTGTGTCCTGCTGTGACACCCAAGCACATGTGACTATTGAGCTCTGTGCTGAGCCTCCCTACTGAGCCTGTGTGTTAACTGGGAACACTAAAACAGTCCATTCACATTTCACATGTGCAGGCGTGGATTGGCATGGAAATTGGCACTGGAAAACGTCCATTGTGGACATGAACTTCGGGATTAGGATTCAGTACAATGGGCTTACGGCAGGAGAGCTGCGTTCATGGAGTAGCACATTAAAAAACAGGGAGGAAGCAAAGTCTCTCTCTGCAGGCTGAAGAGGGGTGGTAAAAGGAACCTTAAAAGGCTGGCAAAGGTAGACCAGTCTTTCTCCTCTCCATTGGCAGATGGCTCTAAAACATTTCAGTCAGTTATGTCCATGCCCAATCTGGTTTTGTTCTAAGGGAGCTGTATCCTCCAGAGCCCACCATCTGTTCCCCACCCCGCCATACGCCCGCTGAGGTAGGAATGTTCATCCTCCAGGGAAGGATGGTGGCATCCATTCCCAGAACAGGGCTGCTGCTCACCACAACTGGGGACATTGAAATGTGCTAAAAATTCAGTGTTCCCCATCTACACATAGCATCTCTGTTATACAGCCTGTACTCAGGGAAGAGAGCTGTCTACTGCTTGGCCATTTCATTGATCCCCAAAGGCTGGATGTTGTCTGGAATATGCCACTCAAAAGTTGACATTTAAAGTGTAAATTTAGCATTTGTCAAAATTTGCAGGCTGTATGTGATATCTTTCCTAGGAATACATTACTCTTACAAAATTTTTACCTATTGCCAAAATACCCTTGGTTACCTCCAACAATAGCGAGCTTATCTTCCTTTCTATTTCTGAAGCTATGGAAGGACCTCATGAGTTTCTGCAAAACAGTAGCAATTGCACCTCTTTATTTCTCTGTTGAAGATGACATACCGTTTTGTTGCTTTTGTTACAGATTCTGGCTGGCTTTCACATATTAGAAGCTCTACAAACAAGGTGAGTGGTTTAGAGTTTTGTACCTAACACATTAAGATGTAGATAAGATCAAAAGCAAATGGCACAAGAATTTAAAGGTGTAATGGGGAAGTAAGTTTCAAATATTACTTGGAGTGATGGTGGCTGATTGACAGTCAGCCCCCAGGAAAAAACATCTTCCCTCAAACTCCTAGAAAATTATTATATTTGTCCTTTTTCATCCTTATTTCAGATTTTATGGCTACCCATGCTGTCTTGCCCCACAGGATATTAAATAATAACAGTCTTCAGGCAGCAAAGAGAACTAATTGTCGTTCTTCTTCTACTTCACCACTGCTGCTGTAATTGGAAGTTATCTCCTTATAATTGCATCTGTAGTGAATAGTAATTATAACTCTTATCATTAGCTTTTCTTTTAATTAGTTTTCCCCCCTTATAAAGTAATATTTTGTACAAGTCCTTGCCTGACTTCAGAACACAATGATGGTCACTCCATTAGTCTCGTATTTGCTGTGCTGTTATAATTGCAAAGGTGGATTCTGCACAGCTAACAGGAAACTTGTGACAGGAGCAGTAAAATGGAGTAAGGGAACAGCTGGAGAACGTGAGCTGTGAATACGAGAGCAGAGCTTTCATTTTAATCCTTCCTTAGACTGTACGTGGAGTGCTGAACAGAGAGGCTGAGTATTACTACTGACTATGGCTTTGAAATTAATTTAGATCAAACTGAATCACTTTAACCAAGAAAGAAAGCTTGCCAGCTCTTACTCAAACCAAACAGATATGCTTTTTTAATTTTTTTTTTTTACATCAGCTTTTTGGCATATTTAAGAATGGGAGCAAACATTTTATCGACAGAGTATGATCTATACAAAAAAGGCATGGTGAAAAGATTCCTGAGCTCTCCCTGGAGTGCTGTCCCCCTCATCTCTTTTCCAAGAGCTCCATTTTGTTACCAAAATATATTAATTTCATTTTTAAAATATTATTATTATGGAATTATACTGTGTGATACAAGAGAAAGGATAACTATGAAGTTTTACAGGTCAGAGTTCCTCTTTCCTATATATCTTATAAACACAGGACTCCTAAGTGCTCACAACGTGAGAAAGTGCTGAGAGCTTTAGTAAGTAATAAAACATATTTGGACTGCTAATTTTAAATTTATTTTGAGCTGTATATTTGTATACTACCAGTATATTTCATAATATTTGTTTACAGGTCTAAATAGCAGCATAAGATGGGGCTTGCAGCAGCCAGTTGAGAGAATGCTGGTTATTATTTAAATCACTCTAATTTTTTAACTAGAAAGCAGGAGTAGCTGAAAATACCTGGTGAAAGGGTCTGCAATGCACAATAAGCTCCATAAGCACATTCCATATAGACTGTGAGGGACAATACTTGCAGAATTTAGTCCCACTGCACTTCCTGCTATATTGTTACTCAGACTAAAGCTTGTATATATGGGCTTTTCTTCCTTTGTTTTAACCATCATTTCGACTTTCAGATGTGTTGGAAATCTCCTCTTCTCCTCCTCATTTTCCAGCTTAGACACAGTATTTTACATGTTCTTAAGACCTTGACAATCCTAATTTTCTTCTGACACATATCCTCTCCTAGCTCCAAAATTTGGCACTATAAATTTAGTCAAAACTTCTTTTTATTAGCGTGGTGTACTAAATATTTATAGAGCATGTGTTTGACATTTTCGTAGCAAAACACAGACCATGTGTGTAGAAAATTGCATTGTGAGTCAACTTACCTGTTTATTTACTTCTACGTTTTTTCTTTGAAAAAAATAAAAGAATTGGCAGATGCAAAAGTTTAATTAAGAGGAAGCTATTTTGGCTCCCTGGTCATAAAAAGAGAAAAACACATAAAAATACAAACCTTCTCTTGTCTTCCTTTACTTTTTGATATGGTGTGATTTAACCCTTATGTGAAAACTCTCTGTATCTCCAAAGCCCTATTTATACATCTATAGATACAGAGAGGAGTTTCCACTCGCAGGATGAAATCCTGTGTGCCAAGATGCAGCCTGTAGGGGATTTTTAACAATGAGTTATAAAACCCCAAGGAAAAAGGATTTATAAGAGAAATGCTGACACAACCTTAACTAAAGTGGTGCAAAAAGGCAGAGATACAATATAATTAAAACAACAGAAGCCCAGAATGTCAGTAGCTGAGCAGATCTCCTTGACAAGTTCTCTGCTTTTTAACTTTGCAGCTTGAACAGCATCAACTGTTTTTTTGTGGGTGGTTTGTTGCTTTGTTTTGTGGTTTTTTGTTTGGCTGTTTTGGTTTTTTTTTTAAGGGTGTATTAGAAAGAGTTTTATAAAACTGCAGCAGAGGGCAAAACAGCAGTGAAATGATTGAAGATATGCATTTGAATCAGCTTGGTTTATAAGGATTACTTAGGCTATATGAAAATCCATGAAGGTCATAATGACATTTATGTCATTCTAAAACTGATGTGTGCTTTTTTTTGTTCCCTTTATACACTGAACAATAAACAGTTTTAAATGTGCTGCTGAATTAAAAAGTAGTTGTATTCAGCTTTTAGTGCAAAGCAAACTTTTAAGGAAATATATTATCTGTAATCTAAATTCATACCTTTTGGAGCTAAATAACATTTTCAACTAAGCTGCAATTTCACCAAATATCTACTTCAGCAAATTTGCTAATGTGTAATTTTTGCAAACACACATTTATAGGGGAGCTTTTAGCATTTTTTAAAAAAATTTGGAGAGTTATTTTTTTTGTGCTTAGTAACTGAAGTCTGGAGTCAGAAAATACAGCCATCTTCCAAATCATCTCTACCATCCACACGCTTTCTCTTTAAAAGTATGACTTTTTAAAAAGTAATTAGTTATAGGCAGATCTAGATCAAAAATTCATAAATATGTCATAAATAAATGCTACATTACAGTTTTCAATAGGTATTGATCTTTAGTAGTCAGACACTTTGTCCAAAATCAAATGAGTTGTATTCCTAAATTACCAAAATAAGAACACACTCAGTTTTAGCCACCACGGGCCCCATGGGTTTAGTGTTCTGCACTTAAACTTTTTGTCTCCTCCATCATTTTTTCAACTAGAAACTGAGGGGAGAAAAGAAAGCTGAGATTCAGAGAATTCCAACTCAGAGAACTGTGAGAATACACCACCTAGGACATTGAAGGTACCTTATTAACTAAGAGTGTTTTGTCACGTGCATTAATTTATGCTTATGTGCTCTTCTGACTCTAACTTGTGATTTTATATAAACAGATTTCTTCTCATTTTTTTAATCCTAGCTAGTTCTAAATATTTAATCCTTATTCTTTAAATGGAAATCAAAGTTTCCATCTCTTACTTAACCAATGGTCTTTGTCCTGTGTGCCTTTGATCAGCACTGACCAGTCTTGCAAAAGCCATAACGCCCATGTACAGCTGGGCAGACACAGGAATTGTGCTTCATTACACATGTTACAATGGCACCAGTTGCATCTGAAAATCCAAATAAATATAAATGTTTGAATTGTTTTGTAATGTGGAAAAAAACCCAAACAAGCAAACTTTGATCCTTATCATTTAGAGCTGTACTTATAGATCCAGAGGAATTTTTAACTCCAAGGACTGGTCATGGCTACCAGAGGAACAAGGTGTAGGTAACACAAAATATCAGTTACTGGGGGAGGGAGAGGAAAAAAGGAATCAACTCACACATTGAAATGACTGAAAACGAAGACAAAGTTAGTGAAGAAAATCATATTGCTCATGCTGTTTGGCTTAATGCTAATAAAATAGTTTTGGTGGTTTTCCCAGCAATTAGAAGACTTTTCTAAAATACATTCCTAAATGCTTATGTAAAAGAAGCACGCACAGCGTGGAATATATTTATGAACCACCTTTTAACTTCAAAGCTTTTTCTTTTTACATAATTTTGACAGCAGAAGAAATTAAAAAAAAAAATCCCTCTGAACCATGTTTGGGTCTCTTAAAATACAGTAATTGGAGTGGATCAGCAGTTGGTAAAATTAATCCAAAGTAACTGTTTATTCAGTGTGGCTCCAATGTAATCCTACAGCTTTCAAGAATTCCAAACCCCACAAAATATAATTATATCCTAAAGATGCTAATGAATATGGGGGAAAATGTTGTCAATAAAATTCCTATCCCACATATGGTGCAGCTGGAATGGGGATCAGTCAGCCGAGATCAATTCTCAGTTTTAAATTGTGTCCCAGGTTATATAAGGAATCACTAGAAATTTGAAAATTAGGCAGAGATTTCCAGGATTCAAGAGTTCATATCCCTATTTGAGGCTTAACAGGAGCATGTTATACACAAAATAATACATGGCCAGATACTTTTATTAAAATCATAAAGAGCATTCCTAAGGAGGTTTTGACATTTTTCAGATATTTTGTTTACCCAAGAGAGTTTTACTATTTACATTCATGTGTTGCTACTAGAATTACACTCTTTTAAACACTCGTACTGTGCTATAACAGCATTTTTCTCTGGCTTAGCTCAAAGCTTTTCCAAGGACTCAAAAAAAAAAAAAAAAAAAAATCTGCAAAGCAAGTGTGGAACCTTGTTTGCAGCAAATATATTGATTTAAACCTACATGTCAGGTTACATGGAATTTTCTGCTGTGAAATAGGAACTCACATCAAATTTGGAACGTGGGCTGACGCTAAGATTGACGTAGCACAGAACAGAGTGGTCCCAGAATGCTGATGCTCTTGAGATAGAATTAGATACTCAGGCTGGGATTTTTTGCTTCCTCAAAAAACCCATGAAGATCAACCCCCTGGATTTAACATTTCAGTGAACATCCAAAAGCAGTGGGTAGAACTTCCCTCTTGCTTTGTCAGCTGCCTTTTAGGCTGGTTGAGGAGCTGGAATGAGAACTAAGAGCAATAATGCAGCGCCCAGAGGAACCTGACACGCTGACAGCTGACCAGGACAGTGGTGTGGACATTGTCCTCTTCTTGGCTGAAGGAAAACACAGAACTAACATGGTTATATTGTCA